ATTGCGGACTCGCCTGAAGACTCCCCCCCACCATCGCATTCGGCTTCAAATCATGGGAGCCTCGTGTACCCCCGCAATTCCGTGTTTAGAGTTCGTTCGCGTCGATTAGCGTCTGGTAGTTGGTGATTTAGCGTCAATGTAGCATCGATGAGCGTCGATCAGCGTTCATGTAGCGTCGACTAGCGTCGACTAGCGTCGAGCAGCGTCGATTCGCAAGAGCCAGCGAGATGGTATGGGAGGCTCCCATGAGTTGCCACCGAAACCGCGGAACTCCAAAGAACGCGCCAATTAAGTGGCACCCTTGCGGCAAAAGATCCTACGTAAAAAGCTCCGCAGGTCCACGGTGAGGAGCCACGATAGGGGTGGGGGCCCGAGGGGCCACCTGAGGCCTGTATCTCGGGGACCAGGGCTCCCTTACTGGGCGTCAGAATATCATGTACCTGTCTTTATGTATGTATGCATGCATGCATGCATGCATGCAGGTATGTATTTATGTTTGTTTGTATGCATGTATGTATGGATGTATGTATGTATGTATGTATGTATGTATGTGTATGCATGCATGTCTGTTTGTATATATGTGTGCATGTATGTATGTTTGTACGCATGTATGTATGTATGTACGTACGTACGTACGTATGTATGTATGTATGTACGTATGTACGTATGTATGTATGTATGTATGTATGTATGTATGTATGTATGTATGTATGTATGCATGCATGCATGCATGTATGTATGTATGTATGTAGGTCGGTAGGTACATGTGTGTATATGTATATACAGACATGACACACATGTATGCAACTGCGGCCCGACTTGTTCATAAGCGCTTCGTATCAGTGGCAGTTTGGTTTCCTGCAGGTCTCATTCGGGAGGCAAGGGCGATGATGGTCCTGCGGCAGGTGTGCCTGCCGACTCCCCGGCACGAGTTGGACAATGTTCAGGCGTGTGCGATCTCTCCCTTTCGCCTCTCCCTCCCTCTTCTCCCCCCAAAGACACGTGTATATACATATCATATCGATGTGCATATCTATGCATATGTTTCTGTATGTATATGTATATATATACATATATATCGAACCCTTACAGAGAAACTACTCACGGAATTTCTACGAGCCCCCCAAGCCTCTCCATCCCCATCCTGGATCGTTTTCTGACTGCCCGCGGGGGCCAGAGGGGCGCCTCCGGAGGTCCAGGCCCAGGGAAAGGCCAGCTGTGATGCTGGAGGCACTGTGCTGCCTCCTAGGAATAGGCCCCCGGACCTGTCTAGTTCGAGCCAGGATTTCGAGACAGATCCAGCCGCGATCACGAGGGCGCCCCAGGAGGCCCCAAAAAGATGTACGGCATGCCCCAACCAGTGGACTTCTGACCCATGATAAGTTCCCAGACCCCTCGTAGAATTTTGAGGCTTATCCAGTCTAGCCGTGGCCATGCGGGTGCGGAGGCTGAACCATAATAAGAACAATGATTATAAGTTTAAGGAGAAGGAGAGTAACAATAATAATACATTTCAACAACGTCCGAAAACCTTGATCTTCGATGCGCCAGATTCGCTCCAACTCGATCCCTGGGCTCCTCCTGGGTTCCATCTTGGCCCTGGACTCCTCCCGGGCTCAGTCTTGGCATGTTTTCCCCCCTCTATCGATTTCTGATGGCCCCCTGGGCCCGGAACGGGCCTCCAAAGGCCGAGAGTATGGCGACGAAGCGTATCGAGCCTCCTCCCTCGATGCTCGATCTTTGGTTCCCGATCCTCTCTGCCTGCGGGTCCCCGTGCGCCTCCCTGAACCACGGCCCCCACCAGTTTCCTCTCTTTTGGGGTGCGTCCTGGCTGGGACTTCGAGGGGTAAGCCAGCCGTGGCGACGAGAAGCCTCCTGGCGGCCCCGCCCCACCAATGTTAAGCCGGGCACGTCCCTCCACAGGAGGATTATTCAAAAATAGCCAAAACATAGTATAGGGACGATGTTTCTAGTATTGTAGGACTGTGTTTGAGCACGTGTTGTTGCTGCTGCTGCTGCTATTTTTGTTCTTTCTCCAACCTCCGCCAGGTAGGGAGACATGCCCGACCCAACACCAAGGGCAGAGTACCGTGCTCCATCCTCGATCCTCGACCCTCCCCGGAAACTCCCATCCCCTGGCCCTCTGGGGTAGGAGGGGCTCACCGACTGCGGCGCCAGAAGGCTCATCTCATCTGAGGCGGAGCCGGGGCGCGCGGCGCTCCCGCCCCACCCGAGCGACGCAGAAGAAACGGGGTCGTTTGCGCGGGCACTGGCAGCGCAAGCTGCCCGCTTTGGGTCGCGCGTGAGCGCCCTCGTCTCTGGTGCGGCGTCGTACGGCCCGTTTCTTTTCGTCGCTCGCGCGGTGCTCAGGGGAGGGCTCACTTCTGTCGGAGGCGGAGCTGGGGCGCACGGGCTCCCGCCACATCCGATGCGCGGCGAGGTATGCCGCACAGACTTCGGCGCAGCGGCGCGCCAGGTGTGCCCCTCTTGGGCCATTTGCGGAGAGGAGGCCGAGCACCGAAAAAGGGTGGCTCCTCCTCCGCCTCCTCCTCGCCCCTGCTCCTCGCCACCCCTCCTCGCCTCTCCTCCTCGCCTCTCCTTCTCGCCTCACCTCCTCGCCTCCATTCGCCCTCCTCCTCTGGGGGAGGAGGCCGAGCAGAACGTGTGGCTCCTCCTCCGCCTCCTCCTCCTCCCTCTCCTTCATCGCCCCTCCCTCTCTCTCTCTCTCGAGTGTACGCTGTGAGGCCCTCGTCGGGGGCTTCGGTGCCCGCCCAGGGGTGTGCACGCGTCCTTTTTGGCGTAGTACGGCGCCTCGGGCGTGGCCAGAACGCTCCAGAACGCTCCTCTTCGCTCGTCCTCCTGGAGGAGAGGGAGTTGTGGAGGAGGAGGAGGAGGAGGAGGAGGAGGAGGAGGAAGAGGTTCAGGAGGAGGAGGCGGAGGAGGAGCAGGACGAGGAGGAGGAAGGAGTCTCCGGCGCGTTGGAGTGCCATGTCTGCCTCAGCTGCAGCGCACAGGCGAGGAGAGGAGGATCGGTCGGGGGCGTTTTTGTTCGAGGTTTAGAGGTTTCCTGTGACACCCTCGTGGCCACGGCTGGATCCGCTTTGAAATTGTTCACGCTTCGCGCATCCCCACCAACCCACCCAGAAACGACACCAAGGCGAGTTGCCTCCATTGGGGAAGCGTGTGAGCATGCAGTGGAGCAAAGGGGAGGCCAGCCGTCAAACCGAAACTCGGGAGCAGCCTGGGCAGAAGCAGGAGTCAACCATAAAGGCCGTTCCGGATCTTTCGACCCGGGAGCCTCTTGAAGACTTCTTGGAGCTATCTGTGGGCGCTGCTGGGGCTCTTTGCAGTCCCTTGTGGCTCTCTCTGGGGCGTCACTTGGGGACACTAGCCGCCCTCTTGGAGCCAACGTGGAGGATAGAGATCAAAGGGCGGGTGAGGGCATACACCTTAGGCGATGCTTAAGAAAACTTAAGTTTTCGGCCAGAGTCTCGATTATTCTTAATGTTTCAATGTAAATCCTAAGATTTTAATGGAAATGTTGGGTTGTTATTCAAGTTCTGAGACTATGAATTTCTTAACCCATGATTTCTTAATCATTTCGCAGGGTGTACCACCCACGCCCAGAGGGCTGGTGGGATTGCGGTGAGAGCGCACTCCAGGACAGGTTCAGGGGGTGGTTTTCGAGGGAAGGGCAGGAGGGCCCGAGTACATCTGGGATGCAGCAGCGGTGCTACAGCATACCCTCCCGTCCCAAGCCCCCTCCTCATGCCTCAAGTCCATTTCAGCATTTTCCCCACTCCGGGACTATCCCACTTGAAAGACGCACGTCCCATGGGCCTGCCACTCAGGCGAGATCCCGTCTGTGAAAAGGAGCCTCCCTGCATTTTTCTAGCTGCAAGAAGTGCCAGGAGGCAGGATCACACCGTTCCAGGAAGTGTTTTCAGCAAGAGCCCGCGAGCCCCGCGCTGAGAAGGCAACGCCCCACGCCCGTGTAACCGTGGCGTAGTTCTACATCTCTAGTCACGAAGTTTGAAGGGGGCTCACGCCAGAGCCCAATCTTTCAAGAGAGGCTGCCCTCGGACTTTTGCAGTCGTTGCGCAGCTTCTGATCTTGGCAGTGCAGTTGAGGTCCACAGTGGGAGCCCCATCTGAGAAAGGATGCGCCCTCAAGCCGTGTACGGTAGGTTTGCGTCGTGTCGACCAGCGGCGACCCCAGCGCGGGCGTTCAAGGTTGAACGCCGCCGGCGACCCAGAATCGATCGACGTTGAACGATCGGACGTTGCGGCAGCGGCCGATCGTTCAAGGTTGAACGATCCCTGCGGTGTCAAAAACCAACGCTGGGGTCGGCACGACACGAACCTGCCGTACTGTTGGAGGAATACGAGACGGGTGTGCGCGGCGCTGAGGCGAGGGCCGCACCTGGAAAAAAAACACCCGCCGTCCCTCCGTGGAGTCGGTGTCCTTTTGCTTTATTAGGGCGGAGGGGCGCGGCACTGAATCTGAAACGACGTGTTAAAAACAAGCCGCCCTCCATCCACACATGTCTCTTAGAGGCTTGTGCACCGACTGCGCGTGGCGCTGAGACGGGAGTCACATCTGTCTGACAACCATGCGCCCTCGATCCATGAATTTGTTGGACGTGCCACGCTTCAGGGCCATGGGTTGTGAGCAAGTCTCAGGCGAAAACGCCCAGTCCGCCCTACCAAAACGTCTTTTGGCGTCTGGTGGCGCTGCGAGGAAGAGGCTACGTAAGGGAGAGGGATGGATGAGGTGGATCTGGGAGGAAGAGGAAGGGAGGAGGAGGGAACGGAGAAGGAGGATGATGACGAGGAGGAGGAGGGGGAGGAGGATACGATAGTGGACTAATGTTCTGGGATAACTTCGGGCATTCATGGGCTCCCTGGAGGGCTCCCCGGGCTGCGGCTGGCTTTTGCATTGGGATTCTGGCAAGAACATACGCGAGGACAGGTCCGAAGGTGACGGAGGAGTAGGAAGAGGGGCGGTTGAGTTGTGGGGGGGGGAGGAGGAGGAGGAGGAGGAGGAGGAGGAGGAGGAGGAGGAGGAGGAGGAGGAGGAGGAGGATGAGGAGGAGGACGACGCAGTGGAGCAGGAGGAGGAGGAATATGACAATAAGGGTGACAATTGGAGGAGGAGGAGGAGGAGGAGAAGGAGGAGGAGGTTGGCGCACGCGGCAGGAGAAGAAGGAGGAGGTGGATGATCTGGACCTGGATCTTGCGCGCCACGGGACCGGCGCGTCCCACGAAGACAAGAGCAAGAGGAACAATCATGCGTCAAGGATTCCCGTAATGGACTGGAGCAACATTACCCTGAAAGGCGACTCCGACAAGATGGACATCGCCAATTGGGGGGGTCCTGTCCTACGGTAGGTTTGCGTCGTGTCGACCAGCGGCGACCCCAGCGCGGGCGTTCAAGGTTGAACGCCGCCGGCGGCCCGGAATCGATCGATGTTGAACGATTGGACGTTGCGGAGACGGCCGATCGTTCGAGGTTGAACGATCCAGCGCGGTGTCAAAAACCAACGCTGGGGTCGGCACGACACGAACTTGCCGTAGGGTGTCGCCCGTCCATCGAATGCTGGAAGCGGTATTCTGGAATAGCAGAAGCAGGTCTCTTGAGGCAAAGCCTGGTCATGTGGGAGACGCTGGTCGACGAGTGGGCGCCACATTTCAGGAGGGAAAAAAACACACAGACACAATTCATCGTCGATCCCCAAGAAAATATGGGAAAATATGGGAAGTGGGGGGGGGAAGACAAAAACCCAGAAAATATGGGAAAAGATTGGGCATATTTTTATTTGTGTGTATTTATTTGTGTGTCCTGGGGCCCCTTGAACATTGACAGCACAATACACATTGCCCGAGTCGTCGCACAACATGGCCTGTCCCACGTGGCATGGGGCACGGCTGCTTTGCCAGCTCCCATCGGTGCTTCCTGGATGGCTAACAGCATGTGCACCTGTATCTGTTCGTGGCAGGGTCGTGCACTACAGAACGAGGAGTGCCCTCAGCCTGAGGAGGAGGAGGAGGAGGAGGAGGCGGAGGTGGAGGAAGAGAAGGACGAGGGGGACAAAGAGAAGGACGATCAGTGGCCCAGGCCTTGGGATGTTTCCGTGGCTTTGTTCGACCACTTCGGGTGTCCTTGTGGCCACTGCTGTACGCAGCTCCTTGTCGGAATGGCGCTCAGGATGGGTTCTGGGATTGGTCTTGAGCGAAGAGTAGACGGAGGATGATGAACGACACGGAATGAAGTGGGACTGAATGGAAGGGGATGCGATGGATATCCAGGAGGGGATGAGAAGGAGGCTGGGGAGACGGATGAGTGATTCAAGGAAGGGAATTGGAGGACGAGGAGGAGGACCAGTGTAAACCCAAGACGTATCAACGATGTTGCAATACATGCTCCCTCGTAGTGTCTTCTTCACAGGTCCCTAGAAGAATTAGATAGCATTGCTGGAAGTGCCGCATTGGAAAACAACCGTCTGAGGGTCCCCACTCGTGCCAAAACACAATACCAGGGACTTCAACTCCTCGAATCAACGTGACAACTGCGTCCTGACAGTCCTAGATCGTGCCAGAACGCCGTTCCGAGGAAGTCAACACCGCGAATCAGCGATACCGCCGTGCCCTGACAATCTTATATTCGCTCCTGAATACAATCTTATACTCGCCCGTACATCTGATGCGAACATTTCACATAAATGTGCGCGGCGCTATGGCGAGAGCCACATCCATCCTCCGCCTTTTCGCCTCGCTCCTCCTCCGCCATCCTCCTCCGCCTCCTCTCTCCTGCACCCTCCTCCCCCATAACCCCTCTCTCCGTCTTCTCCTCCCTCTTCCCCATCCCTCTCGTCCTCCGCCCTCCTCCTCCTTCCTCCTCCGCTTCCCTCGTCCACTCCCCTCGCTGCCCTTCCACTCCCCTGCCGTGGCCGACACTGCGAGGGGACGTGTCCGCCGGCGCACACGCACGGCCGAGCCAGGGGGCCGCACCGCTCGGGGCCGTTCCGCGGGCGCTCCAGGGCTGCTCGTGTCGTGGCAGCCCCCCTCCTCCACCTCCTCCTCCTCCTCCTCCTCCTCCTCCTCCTGCTCCTCCTCCTGCTCCTCCTCCTCCTCCTTCCTCCTCCTCCTGCTCCTCCTCCTCCTCCTCGTTCATCCTCCTCCTCCCTCCTCCTCCTCCTCCTCCTGCTCCCTCGTCCTCCTGCTCCCCCTCCTCC